ACACACACACACACACACACACACACACACACACACACACACACTCAATGCTTCCCCAATTCTAGCCAGCTAGTTTATCACAATGTGCATGTACCAGTAGGATGATGCGTTGTCGTCTGAAAATCTGGAACATAGTTGTCAGTTATTTACAAATAAGGTTAATGCTGTCAGAGAGAAATTCAGTGTAAATCTTTAGAAAAAGAATAAACACAAATCCAACCTTCCCTGGTTCAATGAACAATTATGGCAACTCATGAAAAACAGAGGCTCTGCATTAAAGAAGGCTATAAAAAACAAAAGAACCACAGATGTGATCGATTTCAGAGTTTGCTTCTGGTTGTGTGCGTTGGAGGGTGGGGTGGAGGTGGGCATGATTATATTTGTTAAATATATATATGAATGTTTTTTTTTTTCGAGTGGGGACGTGGAGACCTGCAGTTATTTGGTTGGCTCCTGGGCTGATCATATGGAATATTTTAAATCTACTTAATACTGCAATCACATTTTTTTGGATGTTTAGTGATATAACTTTTAAATCATGTTTGGAGAGTGGGGTGGGGTGTTTATGTATTTTTATCATTAATTGTAAAATGTTTTATTTTATATTATTAGTATTTTTCTGTTTGTTTTTTTCATCATCTCATTTTTTTTTACTGTTGGATGTTGTTTTGTTTTTACTGTCTAGGACTACAGCTATAAATTAGCCTTAGGCTAAATCTGGTGCAATGCATCAAATGCTTTTATGTTTTAATTGCACACTGTCATAAACAAATAAATTCATTCATTCATTCATTCATTCATTCATTCATTCATTCATTCCTACCAAGTGTATAGTATATACACCCACTGTGTACCCTACCTCAGGACACAAAATAAGACACAATACATACAATTCACAGATAATTGGTCTGTAAGCAAAACGTCTCATGAACCACCTGGTAAATTTTAATGAAACTTTTATAAAGCTTATATGATCCATTGTTTTTTTATCTTGTTTTATTATATGTTTATTATGTTCTGTTTAAATCGCACTAAGGGAGCTATAAAAACTTTGTTGTTCATTGTTTGTGGATCACAGTGTTCCTTTTTCAGTGCAACAATGACAATAAAATCTTTGTTTGTTTCTTTCTCTCTTTCTTTCATCTATCTATCTATCTATCTATCTATCTATCTATCTATCTATCTATCTATCTATCTATCTATCTATCTATCTATCTATCATGTACATCTACTGTTGCTTAACATTTGGTGTTAATTTGACTCAAGATGGGTGCCCGAGCTTAACCTTGGAAAACTTGTTACAAATATTCAGTCAAAAATGATGAGTAAATCTTACCTGATATTACAGCAGTAACATTTAATTGAAAATTGCTACTACAAATTGTCACGGGGATTTTATCTAATAAATCTTACAAGTTATTATGACCCTCGCACGTGAAGCTTAAGCGGGAGTCATATTGTTTTCAAACGTTTTTTTTTTGTTTTTTTTTTCTAGTGGTTTTTGGTCAGCCGTAGCACAAAAACGACTGCACCAATCAACAAGAAATTTGGCAGGACTGTAGATGAGTCTGACCTACACTGCGCCAGCCAACGGTTTTACGATAGACCCCATATTTGAGGAGGGGGCTCCTTCCAAATTGGGGGTGTCTGGACATGCAAAAATGCTTATAACTTAGAAACTGTTCAACATAGAAGCTTCAGATTTCTTTTGTTGTTTAACTCTGATGAAGCTCTATCCATCAGGCCCACCAATCAGTGTGTTGTTCAGTTGAACACACAGAATCGACGTCTTTTTAAGCATCAGAAAGAAACATCTGTTTCTCTCTAAAACAAAAGGACTCAGCAGCATAACTTGGGTTTGTCAGGTTGAGTCTGAATTAAACCACAAGATCTACGGAACAATGGCTTCAAACACGAAACCAAACTGAAAATGATTAGTCATAATGAAGAACAACACACTTGATAAAAACCTAACAGTGCATTGTGCAAACACTGCATTCCAACTGTGAAGCACATGGTGGAAAGGTGATGGTTTGAAGTGCCTTACCTTGAGCTCTTGTTCCAGCCTGGACATTTTTCAATCAGTTCTTTTTCTAGAGTACAGAAAAATGATTAAACGGTGAATGCAACTTGTTTTTGTTGTACACAAAATATCTGTCTATTAAATGCGACTTGTTCACTAACCAGTTCAGGCACACTGTAGCCTGGTGTCTTCAACAAATTTCCCAGCAACAGTAACTTGTTGGTCTTTGATCTAAAACGCAGGACAAAAAAAAAAATAAAATAAAATAAAAAAAACAGGACCTAAGATGTGAAAATGGTAGCCGTATATCATCGCCATGGCCAAATCAGATAGTACCTGTTCTGACAAACATCATTGTCAGCGCTGTGATTTAAATTTCAACTTTTCTTCCTTCCAGATAAATTACACCGACATGGTCGTTGACAGATGTGCACAGGAGAGATTAGAGAGCAGAAACAACAAGACCTGAGACCTTCAACGGGGCATGACCCTGTAGTAGGATCTGGAAAATGTTCTCTAGCGTTTTAGTCTACATCTCCCATTTTTCAGTCTGCACAGAAAACATGGAAACAC